TTATTCAGAAGAGGTATGTCTTATATTGTGATAGTCAGAGTGCTATACATCTTAGCAAAAATCCTACTTTCCATGGCAAATCTAAACATATTGATGTACGTTATCATTGGATTCGAGATGTGCTTGATCTCAAGTTATTGGAGTTTGAAAAGATTCACACAGATGATAATGGTTCTGATATGATGACTAAGGCTTTGCCAAAGGGGAAGTTTGAAACTTGTTGTTTGATTGCCAGTTTGGCAACCACCTCCACATAGTCGGGAGAGGGGAGATTTGTTGGGTTTGGGCTCCCAACTATGTGTTTTAAAAGCCCATTTGGAGTGTAATACTCAAGCCCAATTTTAATCCACTTTTGATGGCCAATTAAGGGTCTAAATTATTGAGAGGTACAGCTGGTTGGATATATAATTCACGCACAAAAGAAAGGAGAAAAACAGCCGTAAGAGGAGAGGAATCCGCTGCCTTTTTCTTCAAAACGCAGGTCTGGTTTTTTGGTTGATTGGAGGTCCAAATCTTGTCCGATCGAGCTGAAATTTTAGGATGAGTCTAAGGACTCGTAGAGCTTCAATCTGAACGGTGGAGATCGAATTTCAACGGTTCAATCTCAAGTTATGAGCTTCGCACCAGCTGCTGTTTTTTTGGTGATTTCTTGCACTTTTGTTCCTCTATTTTGATTCTAGTGCCTTCGTAGTGTTGTTAAGGGCTAGATATCATTGTGGTGCTATTATATTGTGCATTTGTACTCTCAATTTGGTGGTAGTGGAGTTGGTTGGACCGAAGGGTCTCGTGGTTTTTTACACTTTCACATTGAAAGGGTTTTCCACGTTAAAATCTCGTGCCTCATATCGCTTTATTTTTTGTGCTTGGATTATCTTGTTGCTTGGTGTTCTTTGGTGTGTTTGTTTGTTGCTCCTCACAGATTCATTCAAGAGGGAAATGTGTTGATCTTGGGCACTACACATTCATTTATGTTCTTGCTTTCCCAACAAGTGGTATCAGAGCGCTGGAGTAATCTGTTATTTGTCTTGATTGAATGATGGGGCCAAATTACAGCAGGATGATCAGTTTGAATGGCACAAATTATCACAAATGGAAGGGTAAAATGAAGGATTTACTCTTTGTGAAAAAGCTGCATCTACCGGTGTTTGCTACTCAGAAGCCAGAGTCAAAAAGTGATGAAGAGTGGGCTTTTGAACATGAAATGGTTTGTGGTTTCATTCGTCAGTGGGTAGATGATAATGTCCTGAATCACATCTACAATGAATCTCATGCTAGAACTCTGTGGGACAAGCTTGAATCCTTGGATGCATCAAAAACAGGGAATAACAAGCTATACTTGCTTAGGCAAGCTATGAATCTGAGATTCAAGGAAGGTTCTTCTATTTCTGACCACTTGAATGAATTTCAAGGGTGTTTTGATCAGTTGTCAGACATGGGCGTAAAGTTCGAGGATGAGATTTTGGGGCTTTGGTTGCTGAATACTTTGCCTGATTCTTGGGAAAGTCTTCGTGTGTCTTTGATTAGTTCTGCTCCCGGTGGTACAGTAACTATGGTGTCTTTGATTAGTTCCTTCCAGTTTCTTCCATTTTCTTCCAATTCCTTCCAGTTTCTTCAAGTTTCTTCCAACATTCAGCTCTTTTTTTCCAGTCCTAAAGAACAGGCCCTAAATAGTGATAAATACCAAGTAATTAATAAGAATAACAATACAAGAAGAAAATAATAATAAATAAATAATGTTTATAATAAGGAATAATTAAAATTAATAATAATTATCGTTTTTCAAAAAAAAATGAGTAGTACATCTATTAATTCTTTGGATAATAATAACTGATAACATTATTTATATTAAAAATAATTAGTAGTGGTAATACTATATTTAATTATTTATAATAATAATAATTATTATTGCATATTTAGCACTATTTATTAGTGCTTTTTTGTAAACATTAGAGTAGTAAAATTACTTTTTAGGGTGTAAAATTACTAATTTATTTTTACAATAATAATAACAATAGAAAAATAAGAAGAATAAAAAGGGGGAGGATATGGTTTGGGGGGTGGGGGGGCTAGATCTGGACGAGAACAAAGAAGAAGAAGAGAAGGAAGATAAGAAGGAGGGGGAGGAGGAGGAGGATAAGGAGGAAGAAGAAGAAGAACAATAGCGAGGGAGAAGATGATGATGGATGATGGATGATGATGATGATATGATGGTGATGAAATGGTGGAGGTAGTTTCACTAGTTTGAGCAAACGGAGGGATGGATGGAAAATCACCCCGGAGTTTTTCAATATTTTAGAGTACCTCGTATATTTTAAAAACTAGCACTGTGTTTGGTTCAAGGAATTTGAGAGGGAAAGGAAAAGAAAATGAAAAACATTTTTCTTGTTTGGTTAGAAAGGAAAAAAAAGAAAAGTGGATGGAAAAGAATATGAGAAGACAAAATGTACTAAAAGAAAGGAAAACCAAATTCTCCCCTTTTTGTGAAGAAAATGAGAGAAAACCATTTTCTTTTCTTTTCCTACCAAATTCATTGAACCAAACATAGTGTAGAGGTTCCCGGCAGTCATTATTTCAAAATAGAGGGTATCTAGCAGCAGATTTTGTTAAATTAGGAATAGAGTTCTCTACCTATAAATAGAGATGTACCCAATTACAATAGGGAATAATAATACACAACTAAACCCTAGCCTCCTTTTCTCGTCTCTGGCGATCGCATGACTTCGACGTGCTTTCACCTTCTTCGTCTTCTTCTTCTACCCTATTCCCTATTTCCCTTGAGATCAAAGGTGCTCTGATCCTTCCCTATCTCATAGGTGTTTGTATGATTTTTACTTCAAAAAAATGAAAAAATGGACTAATTTGAGAAAAAATTCAATTAGAACGGACCATTCTAGGAAATAGTATAAGTTTTAATGTCACTTTGACTCTATTTTGACGATCATTAGTGGGGAGGACTAAATTGCATATTATTTTTAATTAATGAGAATCATCTCGATAAATAGTTCATCTTGGATATTAGTTTGAGAAAACATATATTTATTAAGTACCATTTTGGGCATTTACTTGTTGAATAATGTAAAATCTTCGTCTCCTTTTGATGCTCTATCATGTTCAATACCCCAAGATCTCTCATGTTGCTATACCGTGTCTCTGCCTCAATCAACACGTCGAGATCATCGTCATTATCTTAACTCTCAGGGACCGCCCAAGAGTAGGCCAAGTAGCCCTACCGACCCGACCTATTTGTTCTAGCCTTAAAAGTTTTAAATTTTTTGTATACTCGAATAAAATATAGGGAAAATATTTTTAAAAATATATATAACGCCTTAAAATATTGAATTTGACCTATTACATATTAATTATTATTCTCAAAAAACAAAAATAGATTATACAAAGTGTACTTTAATTCATTTGGGCTTAAGACTATATTTTTCCATCTCGTCTTGAGTCCTTGAATCGTCGTGGAGAGTTTTAATGTCCTTCATGAACTAAATATATTGGTAACCTTTTTCCTCATTAAAAAGCACATCAGTCCTAGAGCATACCTCACAAAGCTTTCATTCCAAGTTCTCATGTCATCCACTTTGCTTCTGAAGTACATCTTGCACATCGTGAATTGTCTGCTCTTGTTTTAAAAATCTATTCTCGTTTCAATTTATGAAGTTTAACTGAAATTAGATTCAATTACATTTATTTGATTGTAAGTATTAAATCAAAAAGTAAAATTAATATATTTGAAAACACATAAAAAAGTTACAAAAAAATGACATGACTGATAGCCGTGATAGGTATAAACTCAATATTGGTCGAGCCATCGTTTTTTAATGGTGAAAATTAGTGGACAGAGCTTACTATTCTTAATCAAGCCTAGAATTACGAGTTAAATCATTAAACTAATTACAAGCATGTTCTTTGTGTCTGATATGATTGGATCTGATCTGATTTTATTGTTGGTCTGATTTATTATAATGTAGTATGATCTAATTCTAATTATATTTAAAAATGTTTATGATATGATCTGATATGAGAGTGTGGGCAATACAAATGCTTAAAACATACTCCCCCATCCCAAAACTAGTATTTTGCTTCGAACAACGTGCAAACTCTCATCTTGAATACTAGCAAACAGGTCGTTAGTTTTGAGACGGAGAGAGTACAAGACTACAAGGCTGATTAAATAATTGGAATTTTGATCCCTCAATTAGGGATTTACAAGAGTATTTATAGATAAGGTGATAAATGTCAATATCAACTATTGTTGACGTTGGACAATCTATTGTAGCATCATGTACTCAATTGCTAATCTACCAAAAAGTACTGTAGTCTCTAAGATTCTATTATCTCTACCATTGTCATGTGGGCTTCGATATTCACGTCCTATCTTTCGGTGCCGCTAAACGAAGCCCGGGTAAACACGTCTGTTCTTTCACCAGTTGTCGATTAAGCTTAGCTTAAACTGGCACGGTCATGATTGATATAACTTGGGATAATTCTATTTCAGTTCATAATGAGTTCAAAAACATGCCCTGTCACAAAATGTTACTCCCTCCGTCCCATATATTTGTGGTCAATGTTTTAAAAGTTTGGCCACAAATTACGAAAAAAATACATTGAATTATGATATATATTTCATATCAATAGATTCATTTCAAAATATAGTTTTGAAATCTCATACTTTTACATTCTACATTTATTGAGTAATAGAGATATTAATTATCAAAGTATTGCATTGGAGATCGTGAAAAGTCAATCAGGAAGAAAGATATGGGAGATAGAGAGTAATATGCATGGTTATAATTTACATATTGAAATGTTGTTTTAGACACAAACAATGTCTTTGAGTCGCAAATATGCGGATTAATCTGCTTGACTTGGTCAAGGTTAGATTATACACATCACCCACAAAAGGATTCTGATATTGAAATATTCTTCCTCTATCTCAATTTTTATTACAAATTAGAAATTACGAAGTAAAATCTCACAATTTTTGAAATTATTTTATTTACAAATTTATTCAATAAAAAAATTACATGTTAAAAACTACGTCAAAAGTTCTACAAAACAAGAGTATCAAAAATAATTTATTTTATCAAATAATTAATAATAGCACACAAATAAACAAAAGTTATCGAGAGGAGAGAAGAAATAAAATTGTAATCAAAATTGAGACGGATGGAATATCAAAGTTATCGAGTTCACTAAATAGACCTTTGATGCAATTGAGAACTATTCTCTGAGACTCAAAATAAACTTGTCCATTGCTTTTAGGTTGCAAGTTAAGAAAATGGACTTGTGTGGGTTGGTGTGATTTAAATTTATTTTGAAATGTAAAAAACAAAAGCAATCACACAATACATTTCTAGATGATTAAAAAAATTCATTTTGGAACAACTAAAAATAGAAAGTGATTTTTTTTAAAACAGACGTAGCTCATACATGACACCGTAGCAAAAATGAAAGTAAAAAGAGATGCACATTAGTATTTACTCTATCATCCCGCAAATAAGTTTTACCCTCCCATTTCACGAAATTCAAGAAAAGTGTAGTAATAACGACCGCATATGCACAAGGGCATTGTTGTCATTTAATTTGGTTAATCTCATTTCATTCTACAGAGTATAACTAATCAAATAGAACATAATTTCTCATTCCATATTCCTCTTCACTTCCTTCTCCAACACAGTTCATGTATTCGGCTGTAGAACAATGAGGACAAGGCTTGTGAAGGGCAGAAACCAGATTCTCAGAGAAGGCAAAAGGAGAGAAATTAACTACAGTGTGTATCTAAACTGGTAGCCGCGGAGCCAATCCTCGCCCTTTTCGTAATAGTCCATCCTACTGAAGGTCTGGTGTGGGAAATGCATCCCGGCAGCATAAGCAGAAGCCCCTCGCCAAGCATCATATATTGGATCGGAGGCACTGAGAATCCGTATGGGGGTCCCACATGGCCTTATCATCCGAATTCCAGCTTCCAACCGCTCTGCCATGCCCGGGTAGAGACAGCTCCCACCGGTCAGAAGGACTGAACTTGTCATTCTCTCCCCCAAGGAGGCTTCTGGTTCTTGCTGCTCCCATTTGGATGGTGGCAGCCTCCTTGTGCACACACCCACCATTTCATCCAACCCTGCTTGGTCAATTCCGATTAAGTTGGGGTTGAATAGGACTTCAGGACACCGGAACCTTTCTACCCCAATATTGATCTGGAAATCTTCCTTTGTTTGAGGACGGAAACGGGGTGGCTCCGAGGCAGAAGACCCAGATAACCCAGATTCTGTCTTTGGGAAAAACGTTGGGTCGATCTCCTGCAAAAAAAGGGTTTTGTTAAGAAGTTATATTACAACCGGTGAAGTCGCAACAACACAAAACTCAGTATACAGAATAAACCCAACTGTGTTATGCTCTGGAGTCAAGATGCATGCAGTGCTACCCTTTTGAAGGAAAAAAACGGAGAGGCTGTTTCCGTTAGATATATGAAGCATTGTTGCATTTACTACCCAGAACTTCATAGAGAGCAAGAAGCAAAGAAAGTTTGAAGTGGAAGGGGCTGTGTCATTTTGATTTAGTATGGTATTTACCCGAAGCTAAAGCATGGTTAATAATGACTCTTTTAGCCCCATTGGTAATGGACGCCAATTGATAAAGTGACTGCATGTACAATAAAATCTATTTGTATAAGCAGGCAAAAATATAAAGGTCTTTTACTGACTTGAAGTCTAAAAGTGACGCGAGCCAACTCTGTTTCATCTGGATCTGGCTTCTCGTCGTCGTCGTCGTCGTCATTATCTCTGCTCATTAGCTTGTAAAGTTGCCAATCTTCATCTTTCTGACCAAAAGTGTCTTCACCTTTCCCTCGGTCAAATGCTGCTGTTGTTAGCAAGCGCATCCTCTCCCTTTGTTGTGCACTCAACCTCTCACCTCGACCAACACCTCCGGATACATTATGGCTTCCATTTCCATTATCTCCATTTGTCTTGAGACGTTTTCGCTGCTCAACTTTCCCCAAAAGCTCATTGTATTTAGTTCGCAACTGCTCCAAATAAAGCTCTGGGTTTTCTCTATATATTAATAATCATATAAAAAACTGGTAAATAAGTACTCCACATATATTTCGGAAAAATGACATAAATATCACAATTATGGCAGTAATATAAAAACTCAGAGGTGCATACAGGCGTCTTTCTTCTTCTAGTTTCTTCTCCCTTTCTCTTTCTAATTCCTCTTCCATTCGCTTCTGCTTAGCCCGTTCCCGTGCCTCAGTGGTTGCCTTCATAAATACCTGCTTCCTTTTCTCCCTGAGCTGTGATGGATATTGAACAGATGTCACAAAATAAACGAGCCAAACAAAAAACTGAGAATTCATAAAGTTGATTCAACTCTATAGCTGATATATCGCTGTATTGTGATGATGTGGAGTACTCAAAATCTTATGCTTGTTTTGCTATTAACTTAGAAAATATTGTGATGCCAGATATGTCCATGATATGGGTGAATCAAACTCATGGGAAATTGTTCCCAGACAATAGATATGAATGTGCATCATTAATGCCATGCAAGATATAATATACTCCCTCCCTCCCCCCCCCAAAAGTGGATGCTTTTTTTAACCACAGAAAGAGTATAGTGCTCAGACCAATCAAATTTTTCATGCAGTTTGCTAAAAATGCCAAAATATGGTCACAAACGAGTTACTAAAAAAATTAGTCACAGCAACAAATAATTATGGAGGATTAGATAACAAAAATACAAGTCATGATTGAGAGCTGTACCTTACCAAAATGTAAAAGCTGTAAAAGCAAGGCATTTTTTTTGGGAGGGGAAGTAGTATTACATTTCAAAATCCATTAGAGGAGCCTCCCATTCATACCTGCTCAGCTGAAAGCTGATCATCAGGAACATCAATGAGATAATACTTTTCAGCAGCAGAAGGCTCAACTTTGTCTTCATTTGGAATTTGCTCGCCCCTGGCTTTTCTTAAAGATTGGGTTGCCTTTGAAATTGCAGATTCTAATTCTCGTTTAGAGGCGTAGCCTCTACTTGCAAGTAAAGAAGGAATATCCTCCTCCTCGATGTGGTTGATCTCCTTTAAGAGGAGTTCCAAACCTCTTATTTCATTTTCAAGTTCATTTATTCTAGAGGATCTCTTTGCTTCAGCCATCTCTCGCAACCTTTGGCTTTGTTTCTCCTTCATAGCTGCTTTTCTAGCAATCTCTTCTTCGGAAGGGGGCTCCTCAACTGGCAATGGATTCCAAGGAAGCTGCCAACATCGTGTCTTTTCTTCAGCTTCCTTATCCCCTTTCTGTTTCATCAGTGGACCATCAAACAAGAAAGAAAGATTGAAAAAAAGATAGTTTAAAGAAATGCAACTCATAATTTACCTGAAACATTCGAACCTCTGAAGCATAGTCAGCTGCAATATAGCAGTGTTCCATCTTCAATTCTTCAACCTTCTCCCATGTAAGCACAGACCTGGTTAGGCTCCCCAGTAAAGCATAATTAAATATCCCAGTTTTTTAAAAGGAAAAAAATATAATGAAGGATAAGGAGTTTCAGAATCTACATGTGATGAGGATACTTGAGTGAAAGAAGTTGTTTAAGATAATTAGTGACATGGTATCCACCAACATTTGTTCGGCAGCATGCTTCATATACAGGTTCTCCATTCACAAACTGTAGGATATAATATAAACACCATATCACAATCTTCGTCATCATTTACAGAACAATGCAAGAAAAAGATACTCTCCCGAGTCACATTGGAAAATCAACATTGTGTGTGAGTATAAGAACGTAAAGAAACTAGTGTTCATATGTAATCTTTAGGACACGAGAAAATAAATAATACGGTAGTTTTCTCCAATTGTAACATGATAGTGAGTTCTACATGCAGAACATAACATCTAATACTCTAATAGCTACTCGCGACAAGGAGATGGGTGTTGAGTTCGATTTTGATTCACTGTCAGAGATCCCCACAATTTTTGGGACAGGGGGAGTGATACGCAAATTAAGAACAATAAAATTATGGTGTTGGAATTGAAGTTAAAGTAAGAAAAAAGAAAGAAAAGATGTGAGCCACGCAAATGTTACTAAATACGGTATGTGATACTGATAAAAAGAGTGAAATGGACAAAAAAAGGTAAAAAGAGAAAAATAGTGGGACCAGTGAGACTATCTATACCAGATTGTTTTTTCTCTCATACCATGTAAATTAAATACAAGAGAATATTCTTATATTTCTTTATAAATAGATTTGTACAGATGAGCTATATTCATAGCTATTTACAATGGTGTTATGATAATGATGAGGTAATTGTGAGCTAAGCAATGGTCTCATTGTGATGTCACATCTCCTAGAAAATCTACACCCCGCTAAGTCTCCCCACAATACAAATTGATATTGTAAAATCAACCACATAAAGATGGAAATGACCATTTGAGCCTGCAAACCATGGAACATGTTCCGTTACACACTAATGGTTATTGAATAAAATTTAAAGGAACTCCCCGAACTCTCAGTATACCATAAACGTTAAGCAACCTTTCAAGGAAATACAGAACTCAACAAAGACTACTGTTCTAATCAATACTTAAATTTAGGCTCTAAATCATACCGGGATAACATGGCTTGTACTGAACCCCGAGGAGATCACAAGGCCATCGTTATTACAAATCCCAAGTTGTTGATTATATTTATAACTGAATGCAGCATCCACTCCAAATGCTGCACAAGCAATATTTTGTAATTTAATTATAATAGAACGAGGGCATAAACAACATTAAAGAAGCTACTAATCTACCATGGCATATTGAATGACTCAAATTATTAAATGGTAAACGATTAACGATGCATTTATTAAACCACATAACACAAAAAAGGCCTTCAGCTTTGTAACTAATTCATACATTCATACCTATAGACGGGACTCCATATGATTCAAAAAGCAACTCTGCCATTTTACCACGAGATTGAACAGGATTGCAAGCACACTCAGTAATTAAAACAGGATGGTTGATCTGTCCTGTCAAAAAAGAATGGCATTGGTTTCAAGAGTTGCATATACTATTTATTAAGTAAGGATATCTTGAAGGCAACATGGACGAACCAATAGATACAAAAAAATCAAGCGAATAAAGAGAAAATTACATCCGGAATGAAGCAGCAATTTGAGAAAGCATTTCACACATACTTAAGAAGCATAGTATTAATCCTCACTTAATACCTACATTTAAAAAAATTATGACTTATGCCCCACCAACAAGTAGACCTAAACACTTCCACAGTGCAATTTATTTGGACCAACCAACCCCTAGTATATTTGAATTAAGTTGGACCCGCATTTAAACCACACATTTAATAATCTAAGAATTCCAACAGAGGCTGCACAAAGATCTCTATGGTCAACCGTGACATCAGTTCTCATCTTCTGCATACAGTTCTCTTCTACCCTGCGGCTATCATCAGGTTATATGGGGCTATGACCTCATTGCTATAGGATTTGACAAAAAGTGATATTTGATAGTATTTGTAACTATTTTACATAAATTTGTATTAACATTTGAAGCATACATGATACACCTCATTGCGCAATGAGTCTTACACTGCACAACCTCGTCAAACCGCCTTAAGTCCTTAACTAACACAAAACTCAATTTAAAGCATTGGCTAAGATAGAATGCTTATACCAATACGAAACGATTACAAATAAAACAATAGGAGACTAATAGTACTGATGACTAATAGAAGACTAATAATAATAGTGAATAACACCCATAATCTTGGCACCAAAAGTACTAGACCGCCCACATTACAACTCAATGGAGTCTCCCCATTTACATCTAAATATGTATGTTTACTAGAGCATTTAATTCGTCAAGTCCAACCCAGATAAGCATAAAAGTATAGAACATGTAGTTTCTTAACCTAAACCTAAGAAATACATCTAATTAATTGGATGAACATCTAACACAACAGAAGAATATCAATTAGCATAGCAGTTTGCAAATGAACACTCCAAACTACTTTACAACATAACATGTGGGAAAATCAATTAAAAACAGGTACTAACCACCCTTGTCAACAAATGAAACAGTGAATAGCTCAGACTACTTATCAATAACTTAACAGTCAAAAATAAACAAGATGCTAAAAGTTCATGAAGATTTACCTGTGATTGATCTGCACCTAATCGATCAAACCCAAAGTCAAGAATCTACAAATGAGAAGATAAAAATTAACCAAATGGAGAATGGATTTGTGTTCAAATACTTCTTTCATTATAAAAGGCCCGCTCTTGCAAGTTAAAATATGCAACTCATTGGGAATCATTTCATTTTAAACAGACTCATACATCAATTTTCTTTGAGTAATACACAAAAAAGATATCAAACAGGTACCAATAATTTTGTATCACATAGGTTATTACTTACATATTCCATTATCTCAAACTGATATACAACATTGTTATCAAATGCAGAACGGGGGCCTGATCGTGTGCAATCAAAGTATTTTAGTAGTGCTGGATTATGATCGCCAACAATAGTGACAGTTTCACCTGTATCAATAATGGGCAAATCATACTCTCATCAAATTGACAATGCAAGTAGAATATCATTTCATTCACGTATATTTTTCTAATTGATTGTAAAAATTTACATTTTTTCCAGAGAAAAAAAACACTCCATCTGTCCCCAAAAACTTTTTGTGTTTCGAACAACGTGCAAAATCTCATATATTATCAAATGATTTTATTTACAAATTGATATAAAAATAAAAAGTCTAATTTACATATTTAAAAACTGGGTTGTTGTTGTTGTTGTTGTTGTTACATATTTAAAAACTACATTAAAAGTTCTACAAAACAAGCAGCGACAAGAATATTTTATTTTATTAAATGACCAATGAAAAAGCACACGCAAACAAAATGTATCAGAAGTCTGGAATAGTAAACAAGAAATGTTTTTTGGGATGGAGGGATTATATGAAGTAAATAAGTATAAGTATACTATCAAGCACAAAATGTAGTGCTAATATAAAAAGGGAAAAAAGAAATAGTCCTAATTCTCAATTTAATAAAAAAACTGATACAAAAATAGAATCAAATGTGGAATTTGTTAAATACGGAAGGACCTACTCAGGTTGAACTTTTGGTATGAAATAAGATAACCAAGGATAAACCATTTAATCCATTTGAATTCCTTAATTCATGTTTTTGTTACTTAGTACTTTGTAATAAGCGATAAAATAGGTCTTCTCCTTAGAAGAAAGGTATTTAGAATTAAATACAGAACATTTGGGCTTCGGCTGAGGCAATAATTATTCTTGTATGGTTCAAACCTCCAGGGGGATGTTGGCTCTCTGTGCTTTTGTAGGTTGAGAAAGTAAGTGTGAATATATACTACATTAGAATAGATTCGATAGTACTAAAAAATTCCTGCATGAGGGCCCTTTGAAGGTTTCTTTGAATCTGTTTTTCTTTTGTTCCTTAGAGGTTAATAGACTACGTATAATATGTCAAATACAGAAAGACCTAATCAAGTTTTTTTCTCTAGAGTCGTGTGTGTGTGTGTGTGTCTATATATACTAGACTTCAGAGTTCTAAAGTTCAAGATCTGCAAACAATATCTTTTAGGGGTAAGTTACTTGGAATCTTGAACTATGTTCTCTATGGTTTTGATTTTCTGAACTACAAGGGTGCAACAGAAGAGGGGAGATTCCGTGCACCCAAGATCCACGCCTAATTCCTGGACTTTTCACAAAAGTTATTGGGCTTAGAAGCTAATATGGAAAAAGGCCCGTTTCACCCAAGCTAATGTGCCTAATCATAACCATATTCATAATCATAATCCTAATCATAATCCTAACCATAATCCTAATCCTAATCCTAAGGAGTCTATGTCAGCAAGGTCCATATAATTGGAATGGACCTGAGGACCATTATTATCCTATTTGTACAAACTACATTGTGTTAAATTGTTCCCAAAACAACGATTGGGAAAAATAATTAAGCTTTCTAGTGCCCAATAAAAATTATACAAGTAATAGTTAAGTCATTATCTTCTATCAAAGAGCAACACCAACACCAATGCACTTCGGCATAATGAAATTAAGAATCCAACATCAAGACATAGAAAGATATATCTTTAATCCCAAACTAAAGAAATAAGGCTGCTTATACTCGCCCTCCTTATACCCCCAGGATATGTAGATTATTAGGAAAAATTAAGGACTTAAGGCTGCTTATACTCGCCCTCCTTAATCCTTATACCCCCCCAGGGTTCTGTTTTTGTTGTTAGAGTTGAAAGAAAGCCTAATTACCTGTAGTTTTGTGGCGAGGCCTTTGGACAATGTTCCTGAAGATAACACGGGGGTCACTCTCTCCAGCCCATCTGCTCAACCCATCAAAATGAACAGTTTCAAAGCTTTATAATCACTGCTTCCATTGTTAATATATGAATGCACAGAAGAAAAAAACAGACAAAAAAAAAAGATGAGACAACTAGGGTTTCAATTGAAAAGTACCCAATGCGGAAATAGGAGGCGCCATTGTCGATGACGATGGGGCAACTGGAAGGAAAGGAGCTGTAATCGGATTGCCTCTGTATTTTGGATATGAACGGCATTTTTTTCGTTGCTTCACTTGTCAGTAACCCCCCACGCAGAATATTACCTCTCTGGTTTGGCACCGATGGTAAACTGCTGAGTGCTGGGCTGCTGGCTATGGAATCACAAAAGTGATAGCTAGTAGCTACCCGCTAAAAGCGAGTGTTTGGGACTTTGGGGTATGACAAAAGTAAAGAAAATTACTGGGTCTATTTTCCAGTAATAACTTTAAATCTCACATTATCTTAAATACTCCCTCCATCCCAATTTATTTGCAACACTTCGAACGACGTGTAAAATATCATCTCTTTAAAATTACTTTAATTTCACATTGGTAGAGTAATAAAAAGTAAAAATTACACCATTTAAAAGTATATGAAAAGCTCTACAAAACAAGATGCGACAAGAATATTTTATTTTATCAAATGGTCAACCAAAACGAGTAAACAAACAAAAATTATCGAGAGGCCAGAATAGTAAACGTGGCATTCTTTCTGGGACGGAGGGAGTATATTATAGGGTGTATTTGACTTTTTTGTTAGAATTCTCGGATCTCACATTATTAAAAATATACTTTTAGATTCCTTAAAATTTATGGTAACATACTTTGAGAATACATTCCATTTATCTGACCGTTATGATTGAAAGTTTTGTTATTTTGACAAATAATAAGTTTTAACGTGATAATCATTATTATATTAAATTTAAATACAATCCTTCAATTTATCAAAGTAAAGGAATTTTCAATTCTAACGCTTAAATTGACACAATATAACCTCGGGGTATAACATCACAAGTTTTAAGGGTCTCGAAGTATGTTTTCAAAAATGTAGAATTTGGGAGTTCTTACCAGAAAATAGAGGATATTCTGGAGTATATTTCAGATAATGTGGACATGATATTTTTTACCATAAAATCATCGAGAGTACACTAAAGTAATTTTATACTCCGTACTAAAAGTGTACATAAAAATAAGGGTAATGCTAGGGGTACCTATGTTGTGTACGTACTTCATTTGTACACAAAGTATTTACAGACACACACAAACACTCAATATTTGTACAATACACAGACATTGAGTATTTTTGTATGTCTGTGAATGCTTTAGTTTACAAATGGGGTACACGATACACCACTTGGGTACCCTTAGCATTTTCTTAAAAATAGTGTATACACTTGGGTTACATCATATGGTGTACCCCAAGCCTTTCTCAAGCCTATAACACTCAATTTATTTTGTTATATTTTATTACACCAATACTTACTAAAGTTTGGTAAATGTGTACTTTACTCTATATGATTTCAAAGCTTACGTTGTTGTCCCTCGTGATTTTGATATTGCTACGTCAATGTTCCTCTAGATTAAAATATTCTTTAAATATTAGGCGAATGGCTATATTGCTCTCTTATGATTTTGGAAATGGACACCAATTCTCCCTTTTTTTCTTTATTGTTTTTTTATATTGCTTGTTTCAGAAATATTTATAAATATATTTATTAGAGGTTTAAAATGAAAACAAAATATATTTTAATTAAAAATATAATTTTATCAAAACATTAAAAATTTTAGAATGTATACAAGTTTCGAACAATAGTGGGGTGAATTTAATATGCGAAGTGAGTTTAGTTTTTTTGTAGAGTGTGATCACATGATTATCATCACCATTGTTTACGGAGTAATAATTAGAGTAGTTAGATTAAGACTTAAGAGTAATTTGGTTACACTAGGACTTTTGAGTAACATACTTAGTTTAATTGTGCTCATTTTTCAAAATATTTGTATACATCAACTTTTTTTAAAAGTAATACAGAGTATTTTATTGTACTTTTAAATGCAACTTTTTTAGTTTAAATTAAAATATTAATTGAAAAAATTTTTAAAAACAAAAATAAATAAAAAAGAATTGGAATGGAATGAAGATCTACATCCTTGAATAGGGATAGAATGAAGATGGAGACATCCCTAAGGGCACTGGAAATACCCATGAAGTCTCGAGGCTTCAAACCTTCTCTCTGCCACGTCAGCTTTAACTTACCTCACAGTTTCACTGGAAAATGGGTTTGAAGCCTCGAGGCTTCAAACCGGGGCTTCAAACCTTCATTTTTTACATTTTAAATACACATCTTCTAAAATTAAATTAATAAAATTTAATTATTTAAAAGAATTAAAACGAGAATTGTTCATAAAAAAATTTACATTCATTATAAAAAGTTACATTCATTAAATAAAGAAATTACATTCATTAAATAAAAAAATTACATTCATTTAAATAAAAAATTACATTCATTATAAAAAATACATTCATTAAATAAAAAAATTACATTCATTATAAAAAATTACATTCATTAAATAAAAAAATTATATTCATTAAATAAAAAAATTACATTCATGAAAAAATAATAAAATACTTGAATAATAATTTTTTTTAAAAAGATGATAGATAGAGAGAAATTTGTATTTGTGTTTATTTTTTTAAAAAAAAATTAATTTATAGAGAAGAAAAAAGGAAAAAAGAGGGAGAAAAAAGAAGGAAAAGGCGTGATAACACCTTCAAATCGCGCCAAAAATTTGATGCAACAGTTTTAACGGACCGATAACGGGGGGAGGGGGTGGTGTTTAACGCCCCCCAGACGTCAAAGTGAGTATAACGTGGCTAGGCGTTATGCCCATTACTACCGCTCTAAATGATGTTGAAATGAGGATGAAATGGAGAAAAATGATGTGATATTGAGTTAGAAGGTGGGAGATGGTGGGCATCTACTGATTCATAACCAAAAATCTAGAGTGCTTCTTTGGTGCACTCAAAGTCCAGAAAAAAATTGTGGATCTTCCCTCATACGGAGTAAAGTTTAGCTTTTTAATTTTTAAATAAAAATGCTTATTTCAACATAAAGCAAATACTTATCACCCTCATTTGTAGGTGCACTATAGATTTTAGATCCACGGTAGAATTTGCCAACAATTTAATGTAGATTAAAAATATTATTTTTAAATAATTCAAATTCTTTTGTGGTCATTAAATCTTTAATTATTTTATGGATCTTAATACATGAAATGATTAAAGAAATCACCCTACATAGCACTCTAACTCACCCTAAATTACGCATCTAGCACTACTCATTGTTTTTAACAAATTTAGCACATTTTTGGGGTCAATCCTTTCCTATCATGCCCTTTAACCTTTTTTCTTTTTCTCATTAAAAATTACGGCACTCCCTAGGCCGCATGTACTCTTCTTGCGCTCGGCCGCACGTTCTCCTTCAGTCGCCCGCCATCATGCGTCCTCAGGCCTTCTCCCACGATCTGGGCCGATCATCAGCGGCAATCATCAGGTTATCTCCGCCTCCTTCATCGATGTGGCTAATCATTTTCTCTTCTCCTTCAATTTTTAATTTTCATTCCTTCATCCATTTCCATGTATTTTTAGTTTAATTATTGTGTTTTATTCGTACTGAAGATTAGGTGGTGTGAAATCAATTTTGAAATACCTAGTATTTGTTCCTTTTGAAAAATTAGGTCTTTTGAAAGGCATTGTAATTTTGGCAGTGTTAAGATTATGTGCTATGGTGTGGGCAGTGTGAAGATTAAATGCCTAAATGTTGTCCTGCATTTTTAGTTTTATTTATTTCCTTAATCCTAAATATCTGAATTTGGTTCTTATCCTTAAAAAAATTTTGCATGTCAAAAAATTAAAAAATAAATTTACCTAAAATAATCCCACCTTTCATTTATTTTCTAAAAATATGTATTTTCAAAAAATCCTGTTTAGTGG